AAGGTCTTTCTGCGGTTAAGGAGGAGAGCTGGCTCACTTCCCTAACTGAGATAATCTCTTCCTGTTTTGGACACCTTGGCCTCCATCTTGGAGCAGGATGCTTTTCCCCGCCGAACAGGAATTTGTGGTGAGGAGTGTCAAAGCGTGTCAGCACTGTTGAGAGATTTGGCTAATTTAGTATATTTATGTTGGTGTAATAGGCAGCTCCCTTACCTGTTCCCCATCCTTCTGCACGGGAACTCCATCTGTTGCTGGAGAGAGAAGGAGATAAAAAGAGTAGATTATAGCAGGGTGCTTTGAGATTCAAACAGGAAAGGTAAAAGCAGGTCATGTATTTTGTGATTGTAAGAGTAGGTGGCAATGATATAAACATATTTTAAAAATATTTCAAGGATGTTACTAATTTCTTGATGACACTGTATTCAGAGTTCAACTGTTACATCAATGCAGTCTACAGTATATATACTGCCTAAAAAGTATAAGTGTCACCATTATGGTAATTAGTGTTGGCTAATTGGAAATTGGTCCTTGTTACTTTATTAATTTTCTCTTAGCCAGTGTTAGGCCCCGATCACACCGAACGCATTTTTATGTCTGAAAACGCAAGGCATTTTTTATGTTGATAGGCAACCACCAAATCAGCTGCCCTGTCAGTCTAATCAAAGGATTATAGCTTGAGCGCTCTAAAATCTTTGGTTTTTGCTGTTAAGTAAACTGTCTTATGCCATGGTCTGTCTGAATACTCGATTCTGATTGGCTGGCAGGTGTTGATTAAATTCGTTTAACTGCACAGGTAGTTCCAGGTCAGTTTAATCACGTTCTATATTAATGCGCTTCCTATAAACATTGGTAACCATAGTAACATACAGTTACAGTTGAATAGTAATACAGAGTGAAACAGTTACAGTAAACATTTCCGATTTACTTAGCTAGGTTAAATGGATGATTTTCGCGTGTCATTTAGCTTATACGGTCATTATAGCAATTTTGATAAATGGGCTGAAGCACAAGGTGAACTGGACGAACTGGAGAATATAACATCAAACGAGAAATGTAAAGAAAAACGGTAACGTTACAAGGAAATAACACCAGCAGAGCTGAAGCAGATTGAAGACGACAAGGATGAGGTTAATACAAAAAAGACTACTAAATGGGCAATTACCACATTCAAAGACTTTTTGTATCAGAAGAAAAAAAATGATGCTGTTGAGACTTACTCGGCTTCTGAACTTAATGAGACATTGCGAGAATTTTATGCCTCTGTTCAGACTACTACCGGCCGCGAATACAGTGTTGCAAGCCTGAAGTGTATCAGATCGGGTATTATTTTAACCGTTACATCACAAAACACAACATCATAAATGATAAAGACCTTAAATCAAGCAATGCCGTCTTTAAATCAATTATAAAGCGCTACAGGAAAAATGGAAAAGACACCAGCGTTCATCACCTTCGTATCACTGAGTCCGACCTGGAGAAACGCATCTCTTTCTCGCTCAACAGTTAATTCAAATAAATACTATAATTCATTGAAATAAATGTAATCTTACTGCACTACTTAATATATCTGTCTGCTCTGTCTTATTTAAAGCGAGTAGAATGCTACATCTAACAAGTTGTAACTGACGAAATTAACCGTCATTTTTATCGTTCCGGTTAAATATTGCAGCACAAATATAATTAACATCTTTAATATGTGAATGCTGGCAAATGACCATGGCATAAGCGGGATAATCAACGGCTAGCTGTGCATTAAACGATTTGAATGCACGACGTGGAGGCGAAGAACCACCCGACGCGCAGCGGAGCTTACATATTAGCAGAAACCTTAAAAAATACAGCTCCGGGTAACCCGCGACAGACACCAAACGTTTCTCCTCCATCAGTGCAGTTTCCAGCCTTTCTAAGCAACGGTAAACTTTCGGCACCACAACGGAAGGCCCGCCTTTCCATTCATTCGACTGGACAATGGAAAAAAACGCGAATGACGTCGAGCACTTTTTCTGCTCAAAGCTGCTTTTTGTTCAACTTCAGGCGCTCATAGCGCTTCTCCAAAAATGCGAGACGCACAGGGTGCATAAACAGCAGAACGCTCACTGCCAAACGAAAACAATTTAAAAAATACTGTAAAACTTTACAGTAAATTTACAGGGAATTTCAAACAGTTTTATACCACATTAACATACTGTATCTTTTACAGAATGTCTGTAAATATACAATATAGCAGTTTTCTGTTTCAGCCCGCTTCATTCGGAATACAGTATCATACTGTAGAGGCATTGCATTATGGGACAGATTTTTTTTTAATGCGCTCATTTCAAATGTAGGTGAAGCAAATACATTTTATGGGTGGGACAAAATATCGATATGGCAATATATTGTCGTCCTTTTCTGTGCGATATGGAACCTGTGATACTTTTTTTCAGGATTCTTTAATAAATAAAAAGTAAAAAAGAACAGCATTTATTTAGAATAGAAAGCTTTTGAAACAATTCTTTGGAAAGAAATTTTCCAGAAATAATGTGTTAAATTTTTTTAAAAAGCTAGTAAAGACTTATATTGTTACAAAAGATTTTTCTTTTGCTGTTCTTTTTAACTTTTTTATTCATTAAAGAATCCAATCCAGAAAAAAAGTATCACAGGTTCCAAAAAAAAAAAATATTTAGCAGCACAACTATTTCCAACATTGATAACAAATTAGCATATAAGAATGATTTCTGAAGGATCACGTGACACTGAAATATAAAGTAATGGCTGAGGAAAATGCAGGTTTGCATCACAGAAATAAATTATATTATAAAGTGTATTGAAATAGAAAACCATTATTTTAAATTGTAATAATATTTTACAATATTACTGTTTTTTTCTGTATTTTGATCAAATAAATGTAACCTTGACAAGAGACTTATTAAAAAAAACATTAAAAATCTTACTGATTTCAAACTTTTGAGGAGCAGTGTATATATATATGTGCATTGTGCATATACTTATATATATATATGTATGTGTGTGTGTGTGTGTGTGTGTGTGTGTGTGTGCATAATATTCACTACTGTTTCTCTCTGTCTCTCTCTCTCTCTCTCTCTCTCTCTCTCTCTCTCTCTCTCTCTCTCTCTCTCTCTCTCTCTATTTCTTTGGTTTTCTGTGTTTTAGGCACTTTGACATCAGCCCTGAACATGGCTCAAGAACCAAGAAGAGAAAGTGGCAGCGTTGTGCAAAAAAGAGCAGTGCCTGAAATTTTATTTATCTATGTATTTATTTGAAAAACGGTCTGTTTTTAGTCCACATTTAGAAGAATGTTAAAAGAAAAGTAATATTGCTGTATTGTTCATTGATAGCTGTTAACTGCACTTTAAAGGTTTTGAAATGTTGACATTTCAGCTTATGTGTTCATGAAAGGCAATTGTCTGTTTTTTCCTTTAAAAAATACAATATTTTAAAATAGAGTATTTTGTTTACCATTTCCTTTGCTATAACAAATAACATAATAACAAAGGTTTAATGAAATATTAAATGTAAGTACAGTATGAAAATCAGTAATTACAGTATTCCTCTCTATAAATTGCTGTAGACAAAACCGTGTAATACTGTAAAATACCTAATATTACAGCAGGATACTGTATATTGTAAGGTTTACCTTCCAACATGACAATGACCCAAAACACAGCAAAACTGAGCACACAGTGGTTGAAGGAGAAAAAGGTGAATGTCCTTGCATGGCCTAGTCAGAGCCCAGACTTAAAAACCCCATTGAAAATCTGTGCATGGAATGACTTGAAGATGCTCACCATCAAATTTAACAGAACTTGAGTAGTTCTGCAAAGAAGAGTGGGCCTCATCACAGCCATTTCCTGCTACTGTTCACTGTGAAGTCACATTACAGAACTACTGTAAAGTGAATGGATGGATGGCAGGAAACACTAGCAATGAGAGCAAATGATTAGGGCAGTCAACAACAGAAAATGACTGTGCATTGAAAGTGTAACTGAATCAGATCCCAACACCTTTCACCTGCCTACGTACATGCTGTTCTTTCATTATAACCACAGCTTGACTTAGTGATAAAACACTACAACAATAGAGAAAGAGAGAGAGGGAGAGTACATGTGGAGGTGGCAACGGAGAGTTAACCAGGAATCCAAGTAAACAAGAAAGAGAGTGAGAAACTAATTTCTCTTTCCCTCAACCACTGCAGCATAACATTGTTGTAGATTTCATTAGTTCTCATGCACTGGCCCACTTCATAAGTGCCGTAATAACATAATTAAGTAATTACGTGGTCCATCACCTAAAAAAATGATGGGCCAAAACAGATACGGTGGAAAACAGGTCACCTGTATTTGGGCCTCTCTCTAAATGATTCACGAATCCTCTCCTTTTATTTATTTATTTTGCGCCTTCCTTACACAATCTAATCCTGATTCCACAAAAACTTAATTACAGAAGGCCCTGTGCTAATTAAGCTTCAACACAGCTTTGGTCTCAGGGTGATTTCACAAATTATTAAATGAGTAATATTCTTTCATAATCAGCCATGACACGGGCTTGGGTGTGTAACCTTACACTGTGCTAATTATGTTGGGATATTTAGAAAGGATTTTGGTGTTGCTGACCTTCCCTTGTTTTGCAGCGATGGTATAATGCTTGTAGATGCACTTGTTGCACATGTTGTAATTAATTAAATAATGTGGATAAACAGGTGACACTGATAATAAGAGCTGTCAAATTAATCTCAGTGCATATTAAATAATTTAAAAATGTAGATCATTGTCTGTTACTCCTATTTAACATTCTTATTCTAAGTTAACCTACCAGATACAGCTGTCACTTAAAAGAAACACTACTGGCTGTTTAAAAAAATAGTGATGAGCCATTATGGGTGCCATCAGAATGAGAGTTCAATCAACTGATAAAAACATCACAATAATCCACAAGTAATCCACACAACCCAGTCCATCAATTAATGCCTGATAAAGCAAAAAGGTGTCTGTTTGTAAGAAACAAATTCATCATAAGAAAATTTTAACTTTATACCATTGTTTCCGGACAAAATATGAGTTCTTTATCCATAATATTGCTTTCTCCAGTGAAAAAGTAATCTCGTCTGAATCAGGAGAGAAATATGCACAGATCAAGCACCATTTACTAGAGAAAACAGTCCTAAATAAATATGTTGATGAATTTAGATGTGACAGGACAACAGGTGATGAACATTTTCACTGAAGGAAGCTTTATTATGGATTATGGACTGGTAATTAGGCCAGACGTGATGGTTTGAATTTAAAATGGCGTAGTGATGGATTAGTTCCCTTTCAGTCGGTCACTCTCGACGTCACGTTGGATGACCGACGAATTGGGATCTCGCTTAGAGAGACCAATCTACTTCGAGTGTAAACTAAACGAGCCAATGCACATTGGCATGCGATTATTGCATCCAGCTGCTGCTGATCACAGCGTGAGTATAAGTAGGCAGCAGATGCAGCGCATATTCAGCTTTTCGCTTCGGAGCCGAGCGGTTCTATCGTTCTGCTCCTGACCTAAGTCTACGGTAGTGAAAACTACAGTCAAGCACGCTCTTCGTGGGATCTCGTGCTGGTAGTACGGTGCTTCAGCGGCGGTGGTTTTCCCGTGTCGACTCGAAGTAGATTGGTCTCTCTAAGCGAGATCCCAATTCGTCGGTCATCCGACGTGACGTCTCCGTTCCCTCCTTCAGGGAACGAGGGTTACCATACGTAACCGAGACGTTTCTTATAAACACACAACTTTTCACTTCACAAGACCTTAATAAATTTAATGGAATTGTGTCATTTACTTGTTGATTATTGTAATGTTT